TTTTTTTTGTAAAGTCAATTGAACATGAAAAACATATTCATGATAGTGTAGCTCCAGAATATGATGATGAAACAAAAAAATTAATGGAAATAGCTGAAGAAGCTCGAAATCGATATCATGAAATCGGAGAAAAATTTCTTTCTATTAAACATCAAATTGAGTATGTCGAAATAAAATCATTTTTTTATTTTTTTTTATTTTTTTTTTTTTGCTCACAGAGATTTAAAAAAACAATCAACTGTTGATGCTGGACCACATGATGAATATTCACCAATAATTGATCAATGTTTTGATTATGAAGAACGAGAATATACATATCGAATATGTATGTTTAAAACTGCTAAACAAATATCAAAAGGTGGTGGTAGTGAAGTTATTATAGGTTATTGGGATTCATGGTGTGGACCAAAAGATAATAAATATTTAAAAATGAAATATTCTAATGGTGCTACTTGTTGGAATGGTCCACCTCGATCATTAATAGTTACATTACAATGTGGAATTGAACAAAAACTTACTGATGTACGAGAACCAAGTCGGTGTGAATATACTATAACATTTGAAACACCATTAGCATGTGATGAAAATATTGCTACAACATCTTTACATTCGGATCATGTAGAATTTTAATTTGACTAATGTAATTCCAATTTGGGTCATTTTTTTTTTCTTGTTAGGTTTCTTTTCTCGTTAGTATCTATTTTTTTTTTTGTCTGTATTCTTTCTATTGATAATAAGTATATTGTTGGCTTAATATTGTTATTCTTTGATTTTTGTCATTTAATTTTATATACAAAACAAAAAAAAAAAGATATACTTTGATGATTTACTTTTTTTGAAAAAGAAAACCATAAAACTAAATTTATAATTGATGAGTATATGGAGAAAAAGAAAAATTTTTTCTTCACTATAAATATTCGATGAAAGTTTTTTGAAATATCATATTTTACAATACACTCGAATTTATTTCAAATTCATAAAGCGATTCTCTTTTTCAAATAATTAACAAAAAACATCTAACATCCTCTTACTCTTCACATAACTTATCTTTACCAATTAAACTTAATTCTAACCAGTTAGACAATTGTTGACATATCTTTTAGCCCGAAATTGTCTATAAATAATACTTCGAATTCTAAATCATCTGAATGTATCGAAGATTCACAGGTAGAGTCCATTGGGTTCAAGAATTTTTGGACCTGAATCCGGTCAATTAAAATTTGTTGAACTCGGACCCGATGGGCTCTGTCCACAGGTGTATTCTTTTTTTGGAATCAGTGAGTAAACAAATCAATAAAACGTTGAAAATTCGCTTGGAAAAAACAAAATTTTTTTAGATCGGAGAGTCATCTCTCGATCCATTTCCTGCTAGGGATTCCTCTGACGATCCTCTACTTTAAAAAAGGGGTTATTTACAAATCAGACTTGTTATGAGATAAACGGATTCAAATTTCACAAATGATTATTCATTTAGACTCGATATGTCCTCAGCAATATCTTCAAAAATTTTATCTATTACTGGTTGCAAATGCAAATAGATAGACATTTGTGGTTTTGATCTTTACTATGTGCATGCTAAAGAACAAAATCAGGAAATCATGCTGAATTCATATTTCACCACAGGAATATATGATAGGTACTTTTCTATTAGCACATTCTAAATCATTATTTAGACGAAGTATTGATTAAATCTAATGAAAAAATTCACTCGTGTTTTTTGTTCATTCTAGTAGTTTGAAATTAGAAAGTTCATTTTTATATGAGAAAAAAAAAAGAATCATATTCATTTTCTTTTCTTGAAATAGTTTTTCTAACATAATCTACACCTCAATGTAATCTTTGTAAAAAAAAAAAAAAACTTCCATTAGTGTTTTTTTGTCAAGTCTCAAATTAACTTTTTTTTCTTTAACTCATCTCATTTAAATTTTCTAAAAATAGTATTTTATCATTGCATGAAAAATCATCAAGATAAGAAAAAAACAAAATTTCATATACTACCCATTGAGTATAAATATATTCATGAAAGATTTTTATCCTGTATCTTATTCATTCAAATTTTTTATAATGTAAATAGAAATTTTTAAAGTCCTTCAAATCTGTTAAATGTCAAAAAATGATCATTTTCCCATTTAATAACAATGAAAATCTTTTATCAAAGAAATCTATGTGTAACCATTGATGATATCCAACAGCGATCGATGTTCATTCTTAATTTTTGATGAAATTTATTACGTCAATTTAAATACGAGAACAAGACAAAACATTCTTAACAATAGCTACAGATTCATATCAATACTCATCTCGAAGAATCAGTTGAATGACATGGAATAAAATATGATTAATTGTGGTTTCCCGTTGTTTTTTGAAAGAGAAAGAGAAGACGTTTTTTTTTTTTTTTCTTGCTTATTATTGGCCATGTAAATATAATTCAATTCCAATTGGTTGATTTCTCTTTTTACTTGATAAGTGAAGGAAAAGAACTTTTTTTTTTTGCTCTCTCTCTCTCTCTCTCTCTCTCCCTCTTCCAATTACGAGATGATCATAGATTTAGTTCATTGAAAAAATAAGACTCAGCATTTGGTCGCGTTCAAGTGTCTCACTTTTCCCCTTTTTTTTTTGTCTCGTATTAAAAGTTCAAATCAAAAAAAGAAAAAAATAAGAGAACATATCATCACATACACCTGTCCGAACTGTAAAGTGACGAACCATTGTCGGCTTTAATCATTGTTGGCAACTAAACGCTCAAGGGTAAGTCATTTAGTAAATTATAGAAAATTCTATTCGAATATTAATGATTGTTAACTGTATCAATGACATAGTATGGTATCGTCCAAAAAGTGGATCTTCCTCTTGAACGTCTAGTTTCATTTCCGGTTGGTAGTCAATATCGGACGTTTTTCTATTCTAATCAATTATTTTCTTTCAGTTTTCTTTTTTTTGATTTTTTTTTTCTCGTTTATGTTATTAACTTTCAAATAGATCTCATATAAATTGTAATATTGTCATGTCCAATGAATTAGTAGAAAAATAATATATTTCTTCTTCTTGTTTTTTTCCGATAATGTTCTTTTATATATTATAGTTGATGATCATGATGATGATCTGTTCTTGAGAAAAAAGAAATGATTGATTTGTGAACGTGAGTGATGTACTAGAACGATTGAAGTTGTGTTTCTGGTTTCCACAAGAAAACAAAAAAGAGAGAGAGAGAGAGAGAGAGAGAGAGAAAGAATTATTATACAAACAGATATAACAGAATCATTTAGAAAATTTTCTTCATATTGAACAAGAACATACATTTATTTTAATGATCCAGTGAGTATTCAATATAACACCTACGTATGTGTCTCATTGTATATAGTACTTGATTATAGTGGCGGAGCCAGGGTGGGGCTGGGGGGGGCTCAGCCCCTCCCAGAAACTTTTGAGCCCCTCCCAGGAAAATTTTAAAACCATGTATTTTACTTGCTAACCGGGGCTCAAAGGTCCCTCAGAGGGGGTTGAGCCCCCCCCAGCTCAAAATCCTGGCTCCGCCACTACTTGATTAATGCCGAGGAAGAGAGAAGGAAAAAGACCTCATTCTGGTTTTTTATGTGTATGTGTGACATGCGAAGAAGAATGAAATGTCTAATTGACTTGTGCACATCACAAAAAGAAAAAGGTTGCTATTACTACTATTCTTATATTTCAATTCTAATAACGAGTATAAAAATTCAGATATAAGAAAGGCATGATAATTAACATGAGTGCCTTTATTAAACAAGAAAAAAGAAAACTGAACTCTAAAATTATTTGAAGAAAAAAAAAAAAAAGATGTTTTTTTTTTTCTATTAAACAGTAATCCTATTACAATGTCGTGTCGATCCGGTGGTGAACAACATCGAAATCGAGGAGGTAAGATGAAGAAAACAAAAAAATTAATTGATTGAAAAAAAAAAGAATCATTTTATAGAACGTCGATGGGATTCTATACGTGATTCACAATTATATGGTCGTCGTGGTTCAATACAATTATGGCAATTTCTATTAGCATTACTAGAAGATGGTATTAATGGTACAATTATTATTTGGACAGGAAAAGGTTTAGAATTTAAATTAGTTGAACCTGAAGAAGTAAGTTAAAATTCAAAGCGGAATTTCTTTTTTTTTTTTTTATCGATTGTTTTATTTCATAGGTAGCACGTTTATGGGGTGCACAAAAAAATCGTCCATCAATGAATTATGATAAATTATCTCGTTCACTTCGATATTATTATGAAAAAGGTATTATGCAAAAAGTAGCTGGTGAACGTTATGTTTATCGTTTTGTATGTGATCCTCAAACACTTTATCCATTTATATCACGAAATGGACAAGTAATAAAAAGTACAACAACAACAACAACATCAAATACAACAATAATTTCACCAAAAACAACAACAACAACAACAACACCAACATCAATAAATAAATCTCCATCATTATCATCATCATCAAATTCAGCTTTTTATCCATCATCAACAAATAAAATAAAACAACAAATAAGATCCGATGAAAATTATGTACCATTTTATTCATCAACATTTTATCAAAATACATTTCAAAGTTCATTTTCACCATATACAACACCACCATCAACAAATGTTTATGTTACTAATGATACAAAAATAAATACAAATAATCCTTATTGGGGAAGACATTCATTTTATAATACATCAAGTCATTATGGATTTCCATCATTTGATACAAGTGGTATTATATCATCAACACCACCACAAACAGTACCACATGAAACATTAAATAATAATTCAATTGATAATTTATCATCTTATTTTACATATAATCCAACAAATGGTATTAATAAATTATCAGCTATTCATAATGATTGTTCAACAAATTTTGATCTTTATTCATAAAACGAAAAAACAAAAAGAAGAAACAAAATAAAAACATTTTCTTTTCTCGTGTGTGTGTGTGTGTGTGTGCGTTTATGTCTTTGTCTATTTTTTTTTTTCATTAAATCATTGATTAAAAAGTAATTTTTCACTTCTTAATATACTTTGACTAGCTTTACTCGATGGAAGATTGAAGGATAAAGTTAATGGTTGATTTCCATGATCATCTTTTTCTAATATATGAACTTTTTTTACTCGATACATACCATCATTTGTATTATTATTACGTTTACGTAATTCTTCAAGTACTTCATCATGTGTTTGTATTGAAAGAGGATTATATTTTTCTTGAGATAATACTGTTGATGGTTTTTTTAATATTGATGTTCGCGGCGGTGGTGGCAGAGAAGGATAATTAGGAAGAGATTGATTAAGAGATGGACGTTGTTGATCATTAAATTGTATTGATGGATTTGTTTCGATAGGTGGTAAATTTGGTTGAGTTATTGTATCATGTGGTGTTAAATGATAAAATCCACTATTACTTGAATTATAATTTGAGAGAGCTGATACAGGAACGAACTATATAAAAAAAAAAGAAAAGAGAATAAATAAAGAATTAAATAGAATATAGAATGTATTTACTTGAGGTTGTTGTTTTTCATAATAGAGCATTTGTGTAGAAGATGGATTAATTGGTTGTACTTCAAGATCAGTCTGTAAACCACGAGAGACAAATGTAGGTACTATTGCATTGTCTCCTGTTGTATTGTTATTACTATTAGAATTTGTAGTTGCCGGTGGTGATGATGATGATGATGGAGTTGGTAAAGGAGTTTGTTTTAGTTGAGTATTCATTTTATACATTGTCGCTCTTGTATGTTGTCCAACCTATAACATATAATGTTTGAATGAATGAATGAAGAAAAACTTAATTTGCAGATTTGATCTTTACAGTGCTGAATCGTTAGAAAAAAAATTACTAACAATAGTCTAATCATAATAAATCAGTTTGTACAAAAAACAAGTAGTTTATCAAATAGTGTTTGTTTAGTATTTTGTCAAAAAAATTCTTTATTTTCTTTCATAGTCGATCAATAAGTAAATGTGGAATACATTTTTGTATGATAAAATGTTGTTATAATGTTAATTTTAATAGTTGATATTGATAAATATTACTGAGTATTTGTTATTCATAATTTTGAATACTACATAGATGTTTTTGTATAATTCAATGTTAGACGTATATTGTAGACAATATATAATCTGCAGGCATTTTCTTTCTTTAAAATTTATGGCATTTTTCTTCAGTTTCAATAGAACATAGTACATATATGTTGAAGATTAAACTAAAATATGGCCATATAAAAGCAGAGAAAAATTGGTGTTTTAACAAGAAAAACAGAGGATATTGTTTGTGAATGTATTTCAGGATTATGAATGCCCTCTTGATTTTAATTAATTGTTGTTTAATAAAAGTCTATAAACTTAGTCGAATATCAAGTATATATTCTAGATATTTAAATTGTTTGACTTGTGCTATTTGTGTAGAGTTAAAAAATACATTCATAATGAGTTTTTTTAACACATAAATAGTATATGTCAAAGTCATATTTGGCTGGATTTACAGACTGATGCCTATCCCTGAGATACTCCTGATTTAATACTAATAGGTTTAGATAAATTTCCATCATATAATGTTTTAGAATATTATTTTATTAAATTATTAATAAAATGAATATTTTACTCAAAGATTCACAAATATATTTTACAAAAAACAAACAAACAACAATTTCTTACTGTTTGTTTTGCTCGATTGTCTGGTATATAGTATTTAAAATTTGATACATCGGTATTGATCAATTCATTACGTCCCGATAAAATACGATCACCATGAGGTGGACTATATATAGCCGTTGAACGTAATTGAAAGCTTGGCATAACAGTAATATTTGATGCATTATTGATTTCTTTTGTCTCAGTATTTATTTTTGCCGTTGTCATTGTTAATGTTGTTGTCGTTGTACTAAGTGCATCAGTATTTGTTACTGGTGGACTCATATACCAAAGTGCTTTGCCTTTATCTCGTTTTTGTTGTTCATATTTACTCCATTTATACCATCGTGCATAAGCTGATGAAGCAGGAGGTTTTGTATTTTCAGCATTCGTGGTTAATGATTTTGCAATGGAAAAGAATGTTGGTTTAGGACCACCTTTAACATAGTTTATTCTTCTATTTAAAATTCAATTTTAGTCTAATATTATTATACAAACTTTCAGTAGATACAGGAGTAGTTGAAGTATTTTTAATAGTAGAACTGGTAGAAGTAACTGCAGAAGTAGGAGTAGGAGTCGTAGTAGTTGCTGTTGTTGTTGTTGTTGTTGTTGTAACAGTATTAGTCGTAGCAGACGCAATAGTAGTGATAGGATTAGTAGTAGTATTCGTAGAAGGAGGAATCGTAGTATTAGTTTTAGCAGTAGTATTCGTAGGAGGAGAAGTCGTAGTATTAGTTTTAGTAGTAGTAGTATTCGTAGGAGAAGAGGTCATAGTATTAGTTTCAGTAGTAGAAGTAGGAGTAGGAGTAACAGCAGTTAAAGAAGGTGTAGAAGCAACCGAAGTGCTAGATTTGCTACCCATCGAGATTGTTTTTTTATCATAGAATAATTATGTATTGGATTGTTATGAATTCAATTATGTTTTGACATGGCTTCATTATATAATTTAATTTTTTTTTTTTAGTTTATAAATGATAAACACCAATGAAAAAAGAATTTGTTTAATGTATTATAAATTTCATAGTTTTAAATATGTTTTAGTTATTTTTCAAACAGTTAAGGAAAATGTTATATCTATATTTGATATCATTTCTTGATGTTAAGTAGTGACATCGTCTGAATGTCAAAATATATCTAACAGGTTCTATATTTTATCCAATCAGGATAAGAAACAGAGACCTTTGTGATTGGAAAATGGAATATATGATGACCCGACGGATGTCTATATGCATGTCAACACTTATTCAACTAGATAGTCATTGAGTTGTTTTAAATTTTTGTTTTTTTTCCAAATTATTTCATAATTTATGCATTGTATTTTATTTTATTTTTGATAGATCAAGTATCTGTAACTTCATATATCAAATCCGGCCTCGATAAACCTTTAAACGGATTGCTTGTCTTATTTTGTTTTTCTTTTCTTTTTTTGTTTGTTTGTATATTATTAACTCATTTGCAATGCCTTCATTTGTTACATTCATCTATTTCGTTTAATTTTCGTATTTATTTAAAAATATTTGTATTACTTCTAAATTGGATTATTTTATTGTCTAATCAATGGAAGCAAACAAAGATTCTGCACTTCATTATATTGAACTTGCTGAACAAGCAATACTTGCTAATGATAATGAACGAGCTTTACGATATCTTACAAAATCTGAAAATCTTTTTCCTACACAAAAAGCCAAAGGTTAGTCTTTTGTTTTTGTTTTTCATTAATTTATAAATTAATTTCTATTTTATCAATAGATCTCATGGAACGACTAATGCATGTTAATTCTCATTCGACATCATCAACCAGTAATAATAAAACTTATGAATCTACATCAACATCTCCACATAATGAACAAGAAACAACAAATGGGCCATCATCAAATACAAGACATCGAACAACAACACAGTCAACATCATCCAGTGATTATACTCCTGAAGAAGCACAAGCTGTACGGAAGTAAGTACATATAAAGATTGTTGTTCTATTTTTTGTTTTATATGTTATTTTAAATATTAGAATTAAAACATGCAAAGATTTATATGAAATTCTCGGTGTTAGTAAATCAGCAACTGAAGCAGATCTAAAGAAAGCTTATCGTAAATTAGCTCTTCAAGTAAGAATAATAAAACAAAACAAAAAAAAAGAAAAGAAAAGATTCTATTTTATTTTATATTTAGTTTCATCCAGACAAATGTAAAGCACCTGGTGCTACAGATGCTTTTAAAGGTTATCTATCTTGATAAATTTAAATTATTCTTTCTCTTTTATTATAATTATTTTGTTTGTTTGTTTTTTTCTTTCTAAATAGCTATTGGTAAAGCTTTTTCAATTTTGAGCGATCCTAAAAAACGTGAACAATACGATCAATATGGTCAAGCTATGGAACCACAATATCATCGTGGTGGACGTACTTCACAACATTATTATTATTATGAAGATGATGATGATTTTTCAGCGGAAGAACTTTTCAATCTTTTCTTTGGATATTCGGGTATGATTTATTTTAAAACGTAGAGAGAAAAGAAAGCTAAAATTATGCCTTTCAATTTATATGAATTTATAAATAACTTCAATTTAGTATCTTGCAACTGGATCGACGCATTCAGCTCGATCCAGATGGAAACTCATGGGATCCGGACTTGAGATCATACCGAGCAATACATGAGATCGGAATGTATCAAAATTTTTTTTACTTTGCCAAACTACTATATATATATATAAAAGCATAGGAAAGAAAACCGGTTTCGTCATGGTTGAGTAATTTATTACGCTTGAGGACAGATCACAGATGTGGAAAGTGATATTGTTTTACTAAGAGAATTCGTTTTTAGTGAAAATTTATCGACATATGATGAAGTAATTGAATACATAGAGAGAAAAATAAATTATCAAAAAGATCAATATATATCATCATGACGGAGAAAGCATTCATGCATGTATTCATAAATATGACGTTTGACATCAATACTGGGTTTCATTCTAGCGTTATCAGCAACAAACAAATACATATACTTAGCGAACTTGATCAAGTTTTACAAGCAGAAGGACATCAAGTGAATCCTAAATCACTTGTTCTTTTGTGAAATTTGAGATGAACTCTTCTTTTTATTATTGCTGTTTATGGAAAAAACTAAATAATATACTTTTTCACATAAAGTAAAGGTTAGAAAATAGTATCCATGCAGGACAGTACTCCACTTATAATTTTTAAACTTCTATATACCTTCAGTTTAGACATGAGTAAGACTCAACTTTATTTGAGTTCCAATCTTATTACATTCATGTTGTATGGACTGATTATTAGATTCTATTTAAATCAGTTAATGTGAAATCTTAGATTAATTTTATTTAATATATTCAGGACCAACATCTCGTACATATCGACGTCGTCAACAAAATCCATTTCAATTTACTACACATTCAACACATAATACTACACAAAATGTTTGTTTATTGAATTATTTAAATTCTCTTTTTAATTTATCATATTTGTAGACTACACATACACTTGCACAATTATTGCCTTATTTATTTCTATTTCTTATTTCAATTATTGGTACATTTTTAGTAAGTGAACCTCAATTTCAATTACATCGAACTGGGTATATTCATTTCTCTATTTTAAATATATATATATATATATATAATTTATATGTTTATATATTTAATAGAAAATATAATAATGCACGTATGACTCGTTTATCAAGAATTGAATATTTTGTTAAACAAGATTTTCATCCACCAAAAACTGATGCTGAATTGGATAAATTTGAATCATCAGTTGTTGATGAATATGCATCTGATTTACGACATCAATGTTATCGTGAACAACAATATAAAGAATCAATGCTCTGGCGTGCACGAATGATGAATGATAATGGATTATATCGTGAAGCACAAAAGCAAGGTACACCATCGTGTAATAAATTAAATGATTTTGTACAACGTGGACATGCTTAGACATTTTTGTATTGAAATATTTTAAATTTAAAATGCCACAGTGAGACATTGCTTCTTCTTCTTTTTCTTCCTTCTATCTTTGTTTATTATTTTATGTTTCTTTTTTGTTCTCGTTCTTATTCTTTCTCTGTCTCTTATGTGATGCAATTGTAACAGAAACAAAAAAAAAAAGGTATGTTCGTTGCAAATAAATAGATAAAAAAAAAGAAAAGAAAAGAAAAGAAAAGAAAAAGAAAAAAACGAACAAAAATATTATAAATAAAATAAAATAAAATTTATTTGAATTTAACCATAAACATCCATTTCAAGTTTAGCTTTTTCAAGTTGATGAACAAGAGCATAAAATTGTTCTAATGTAACACTTAATGGAATATCTGTACGATTTGTACCATTATTTGACATTGTTGTTAATTTTAAATAAAGTCGAGCTGCACCATTGTTATCATCAGTTTTACTATTTGCTACATTAATAGCAAATTTCCAATCAAAATCAACTAATTGTTGACTTGGAGTAGTCATCTATAACAAAAATAAAAAAATCTTTATTCTAGAATATAAACAAAAAAAAAAGGTATATATATATATAATAGACAAAAAAAGAAGAATGTATTACTTTACATTGTTAGTTATTTGGCTTTTTTTTTTCAAATATCTATTATACCCAAAAGAATATTTAAAAGTGTGAAGTCATTGTCATGACTACAAAAAGATAAGAAAATTAGAAGAAAAAAAAAACGAAACGAAAAGAAATGTTTAGATCAAAAATATAAGTAAACATAAGAAATATTCAGATCTAGAACAGTATTTTGAAGTTTTATTTTTCTAATAAGAAATTAACTATTTAGCATAGGATGCTTGATCAGCAAGGAGAATCCATCGTTTGAATTCATCATAGAGAACAAGAACAAGTGATGAACCGACACTACGATAAATATTTGATAAATTGCCTTTGAAAAAAGCTGTTAGACCTTCAGTAACAGCAATCTTTCGTGCACAATCCATTGTTCCTCGATAAATAATATCACCACGGCCACTTTGCATCATCAAACGACTATAAATGAATGTATTAATACAAGATTTTTGAAACTGATTTCTTTTTTTTTTGTTTTTATTTAGCCTACCGTCGAATTGTATCAAGTGGATAAGCAAGAAATTCCGATGATGATGTAATAAATTGTGCAAAAAGAAAACGATAAAGTATACTCGGATTTGGATTATCACCAAACATAAATCTTTTTCCTTGAAAATAATAAATTTTTCATTTCAATTACAGGCAACCCTCTGTTGAAGTGCTTCTGGTTCTCCGCAAGAATACAATCGATCGAACTCAAATTTTTATTACACCTAGATCATCAAAAATGATGGGATCTATACTCGAAGAAAACAGTTTAAGAGCAGGTATTCATGGGTTTTTGAAAGAATCTTCGAAAAACCATTGGACAAGCTTTTTAAATTTTTTCCTCGAACATGAATTCAATAATTTTCTCTAATCTGACTGTGAAAAAAATTTAAGTCCGATCGATTATACTCTTGTGGAGAACTAGAAATAGTTCAAAAGAGAAGGACTACCCTTAAACTATCTTACCAGCATCATAACCACCAAAATAAAATGCTCGATAGACAAAAATACCAGCAACACTAATAGCAAAACCTCGATAGAGACCTAAGAATATAATAGAACATTTGTTTAAATTTGAAAAAACTTTTTTTTTTTTTTGTATTTTCAAAATCAATCTACCTTGAATACCATCAGTTTTATAAATTTTAACAAGACAATCGTTCATGCCTTTAAATTGTCGTTCATTAAGTGATTTTCCAATATCAACACCAAGACGTGTTCGAGCAAAATCAAGTGGATAAACAAATAATAAACCTGTTGCACCAGCCATACCACCAGCAAATAGATT